AACGACCTAAGCTAAAGAAAATGGATATGAGATTTGGCACTTGGAATGTACGAAGTTTGTATAGGGCAGCTTCGCTCAATGCCAAAGTAGGGAGGGAAGACATTTTCAAAACGATTGGGAATGAGAGTTTGCATGAAATTAGTAATGCTAATGGAGTTAGAGTTGTAAACTTTGCCATATCAAAAAATCTTACTGTCAAAAGTACAATGTCCCCACATCGTAACATCCATAAATTTACTTTGACATCTCCTGATTGGAAGATACACAATCAAATAGACTGTATTTTGATAGATAGGAGATGGCACTCAAGTATACTTGATGTCCTATCATTCAGGGCAGGAGATTGTGATACTGACCACTACCTGGTGGTGGCAAAGATTAGGGGAAGACTGGCAGTGAGCAAACAAACAAGACATAGAGTTCATATGGAGAGGTTCAATCTGAAGAAATTAAATGAGGTAGAGGGTAAATCAAAGAAAGCAGGCCAAATTGCAATGGTTACAGGATCCAAGCGAGTTAAATGGGGATAATCTGAATAATATAAGACATGAAACGAGCAGGCATTTCAGGAACAAAAAGAGGGAATATCTGAAAGACAAAATTGATGAGCTTGCAATGAATACTAAGAACAAGAACATTAAGAGACCTGTATAGAGGAATAAATGACGTTACCAGCCTAGCAGTAACTTAGTGAAGGATGAAAATGGTGATTTTCTTGCAGATTCACACAACATTTTGAATTGGCGGAGGAACTACTTTTCAATTATTGAATGTACATAGGGTCAGTGATGTTAGGCAGACAGAAATCCATAGTGCTGAGCCGTTAGTACCTGATCCTAGCCCTTTTGAAGTTGAAAGTGCTACTGCAAATTTGAAACGGTATAAATCACCAGGTAGTGATCAAATTCTGGCAGAACTAATTCAAGCAGGAGGCGAAATATTATGTTCTAAGATCCACAATCTAATTACTTTTATTTGGCACAAGGAAAAATTGCCTGATCAGTGGAAGGAGTCTGTTATTCTACCAGTTCACAAGAAGGGTGATAAAACTGACTGTAGTAATTATCGAGGGATATCACTGCTATCAACTTCATATAAAATTTTGTCCAATATTCTTCTTTCAAGGTTAAGTCCATATATAGATGAAATTATCGGGGACCATCAGTGTGGGTTTCGATGTAACAGATCAACTACTGATCAGATCTTTTGCGTTCGTTAGATATGGGAGAAAAAATGGGAGTACGATGAGACAGTACATCAGCTATTCATAGACTTCAAGAAAGCTTATGATTCAGTTAGGAGGGAAGTATTGTACAATATTCTAATAGAGTTTGGGATACCTATGAAACTAGTTAGGTTGATTAAAATGTGTTTAAATGAAACGTATGGTAAAGTTCGTGTAGGTAAACACCTGTCTGATAAATTTCCTATCCAGAATGGTCTAGAACAAGGAGATGCTTTATCGCCACTCCTTTTGAACTTTGCTTTAGAATATGCCATTAGGAAGGTCCAGGGAAACCAGGTGGGACTGCAATTAAACAGGACACATCAGCTGTTGGTTTATGCCGATGATGTGAATCTACTGGGTGATAATGTAGATACCATAAAGAAAAACTCACAAACTTTAATTTACGCAAGTGAAGAGGTTGGTCTAGAAGTAAACACAGAGAAAACTAAGTATATGTTGCTGTCTCATCACCAAAATGCAGGGCAAAATCTTGACATAAAGATAGGAAACAGATGTTTTGAAAATGTGGCACAGTTCAGATATTTGGGATCAACGATAACAGATCAAAACCTGATTCAGGAGGAAATTATGAGGAGATTGAACTCGGGTAATACTTGCTACAATTCAGTTCAGAACCTTTTGTCTTCCCGTCTGCTGTCCAAAAACATAAAAATTAGAATATACAAAACTATAATTTTGCCTGTGGTTCTGTATGGGTGTAAAACTTTGTCTTTGACATTAAGGGAGGAACATAGACTGAGGGTGTTTGAGAACAGGGTGTTGAGGAGAATATTTGTACCGAAGAGAGATGAAGTCACAGGAGGTTGGAGAAAACTGCATAATGAGGAGCTTCATAACTTGTACTCTTTCCCAAGTATAATTAGAATGATCAAGTCAAGGAGGATGAGGTGGGCAGGTCATGTAGCACGAATGGGGGAGACGAGGAATGTGTATAGGATATTGGTGGGAAAGCCAGAAGGGAAGACCACTGGGAAAACCAAGGCATAGGTGGGTGGGCAATATTAAAATGGATCTTAGAGAGATAGGATGGGATGTTATGGATTGGATTGATCTGGCTCAGGATAGGGACCAGTGAAGGGCTCTTGTAAATATGGTAATGAACCTTTGGGTTCCATAAAATGCTGGGAAATTCTTGAGTAGCTGCAGAATTGGCGGCTCCTCCAGAAGGGCTCAGCTCCATGAGTAAGTAAGTACATAACTTCAACAGCTGATAGAGAGTCATAAAGTAACTAAATTTCTGGTAAAACAATCGAATATGTTATCATCTCCATTTTGATGCCTTATGTTTATAAATACTGTTTTGTCTCTGCTTTCTTGGCCTGTTTGCCTTCGTACTGAAGGAAAGCACTTCGTTAACTTGAGTTAAACCACTGGCATTTATTAAAATCTTCAAACAGGAATATAAAAGATTCTGAACTGCACTGTAGCAAGCTCTTTTCAAATTTCATCTGTTCTTTATTTAATCATTCATAATTTAGTTTGTTGCTTTCGTTTCCAAGAACGTGACCTTTGCCATATTTTCAAAGAGTTAGATTTAGTAGGTGGTGCTGAAGGTTACTGTCTTCTGGTGCATGACCATAGTAGGCTACACAGCATCACATTCCAAAAGACAGTAACCTGCACTATAGTAGCCGCCATGTGTTATAATTTTGTCCTCCTCCTGATGATGAGACATTAATATATGCTTAGTTTTCTGTGCCTTTATGCATACAGGCAAAGCTACTGATTAGCTTTTGTAGTCTTGTATTAATGCATCTGCTGAACCAAATATTTATGTTATTCATAAACGTTGTATGCATTAATATTAAATGTAAGGCACTATGCTACCTTAAGTAACATACAGGTATGCAGGTATTCCAATCACATGAGGAACCGTGATTTGTAGTAAAAATTTAGGTGCAAAAGTGGCCTTTGCTCTCCGGAATATAAATATACGTGATAATAGCCTGAGCCACCTGCCTCTTCATTTTGGGTAAAGAAGTTACTCAGAGAGGCAGTCTTCATTCGGAAGCTTACAAGTGACACCACAAATCCTAACAAACAGGAGGGTACTCTAATGTTTGGTGTTGTTAAGTGCAAGAACAAATATTCAGATTGGTTTTGAGAGGGATGACTGACTGTGTACGAAGCTCCCTGCATGAAACTGGATTCACACTTTATGCCTTTTTACAGAAGGCACGCACCATGTTACATGGAAGAGAAAGGAAATTGTTACTGTCCTTCCTCATTAATGGGAGTGATATCTTCATGTGCTCCCTATGCATAGTAAAAGTTTGAACCAGTTAGATTGTGACAAACACTTTTTCACCCACTGCACAAATTTGTAAAAAATCACACATTTGCTGATGCACTATGTATTCCAGCAGTGGGGCTAAAAAGAGGGTATGAACTGTGAAATGTGGGGAGCACTCTATATCACTTTTTATTCTTTAGTGGCGTTTTTGTCATTGTATATACTAAACACACTTAAGTGATCCTGCTACACAACAACGCCTGAACTTCTCACAACCTAATGTGAAATTTTCCCCACTGCAGAACCGCAGAATTATTGAATGAAAAGCCAATATTGTTTTCATAGTTTTTATTTGAGATACAAGCAAAAATGCACACACAATGAACTTCTATGAGTTTCAAACAGAGTGAACAAAAACAGATGGTGTGACTGCAAATGGAACATTAGGGATACTATGGGAAGAGCGGGGGAAAGGAACCGAGTTGGCAGCAGTTCAGCAAGTAGGGACAGGGCATTACAATACAGACTCAAAGTGTTCAAGTACCTCAAATGTTTATGCTCTCTCTCTTTTAACTGACAAGTGAAAATTAAAAAATTTTAAATTCAAATTATAAACTCCCTTTTGAGATTTGACTTGACAGAAGAGACAGATCTGTGTAAAAAAACTGAGAATTTATACTGTTTAATTTTGATCAGCCGGCAGAAGTAGAAATGATGCTAGTTGTACTTGTTCTTGTAGTAACTTGTACACAGACAACAATGGTGACTAAGGTATGCCTGAGAACAATGCAACATCTAAGGAAATACTGTACTGATTTGAATTCTGTACTACAGCAATGACAGACCTGGATAATTATTTACAAAAAACACGAAAATTCATATCAGAGTGAGAGGATAAAAACACCGGAGAATATGATGGGAAATTCAAACTTTCTGTCACAGAAAAATTGAAAGTCAGACATGTAACATCTGAGTGTGTTAGTAATAGAACATGTATAGATTTTTTAACAAAAAACTGTTTGGTCACCATATTATCGGTTGACAATTTGACATTTCATGATGACATGGGAAAAATTAGGCGACACATCTTCAAGATAATGAAAGGAGATACATAACCCTTAATATATTACCAGTATCTTTCAAAGTAGGTATCATCTAAATGCAATCTAAGGTAACATGCCCACAGGGTTGTGAGGTTGTCAGCCCTATGCGCTAGCCTCCTTTTAACCCCCCCCCCCGAAGATTCCTGGTACTCATTTGTTGACCCCAAGGCCACAGTGTGGCTGGAAGGATACAATTTATTGAAGGAAATTTTAATTTAATTCCAAAGAATTTATAATCCTTGAAAGTGAGTTATTTTCAGATGCCTTGGCAAAATTTAGAAAAGGGTTCAGTATCATTTGCACGTATATAACTCAGATATAAGCCACCTATGTCTTTTGGGCATATGTATAACTAAGGCCAGTAGTAACACAACATTTCTGTGACTAAAAGTTGCTACATAAATCAAAGAACATCTGCAATTAACACAGGAAATATTTAATTTTTAGTGTCTCACAAATGATAGTTACAATGAAATGTATCTCATTATAATACTAATATCAAAGATCTTGCTGCAGATGTGTTCCAAAACCGCTCTCTTCCTCTTCATACCCATTTTGAATAGTATTGTAGGATGAATATATTTTTTACCCACTTTTAACACAGAATTTTAACATTTGTACACCAATGCTCAGTCACAGCTGTAAACCAGCAACTGGTAGGAAATGGGGGGAGGGGGGTAAAGTTATCCTTGCAAGAGGCCATGGACGTCCACAAGGTTCTCACATTTTCTACACAATTGGTTCACAGATGGCAGTGAGGCTGTCAGCCTTACATGCCGGCTGCACTTAACCCCCAGGAACATTCATGACAGATATTCAGTGGCATGGGGATGGTGGGCAAGAAACAAATCAGATCAGTCACATAGAGCCTTCCAAACTATACAGCACATCTCTTCCCGTTCCTCTCAAACATTAATGCTATCAGTATCTATAATGGTAGATTCCAGATGTCAGCTCTTTGTCACATTTCAGAACCTCAAATGATGCATTTTGTTTCACATATCAAACTGTTTTGAGGTCACAACTTTGAATAATAAATGTAAGAGTTTTTAATATATTGAAATTTAGGTTACTGGCTATCAAATACTTATTACACAATGCTCAATATGGGGCCAATTCCATCATTGAGGAACATCGGTCTTCTAATTACTGAAAATAATTTAAAACTTACAACTAAATAAAAAGAAAACCAACATTTCATTTCTGTGGGAGGTGCATGGATGATTCCTTTTTATTCCAATAGCTTAACACTGTTAATTTTGAATACTGGAAAAATGTACAGTAAACCAGAACCCAAATTTAGTAGTGATACAAAACCCCACACAGAATATTTAAGTGAAATGCAAGGTAAGTTTACTTGCATGAGGTCTCATGTCTGGAAGCATACAATGGGATATAACATACTTTAACCTGTTTGGTCAAGACTGTTACAAATGAACCTATTTTAAATGAACAACATGAAACAAAAAAAAAAAAATTAACATTGAATTATCTTCTACTAAAACAGTACTACAGGTCTGAATTATTGGGGTGAGAGAACTTCCAGACGCAGCATGTTCAGTGCCTAAAGGGCCTATTTGTCCACAATATGGTCAGGTTTTTCCCCATGGAAATGTCGCTCCCACATCTGCTTGTATAGTTTCTCCATGCCCTGAGCATACTGCAAGCAGTCAAACAAGGGGCTCTCTGTCCGGGCTCGCCACACTTTAGCACGTGCGGCCTTCAAGCTGAAACAGCATCACACAGCATTAGAATTGCCAGGTAATGTGATTATTATTGTAAAGTATGACTATCTATGGTACGAGGTTTGAATGGTGATAATGGTCCAAGGAAATGGCAGTAAAAGTGGTTACACTAGGGTGTGGTGATGCAATGGTACTGTGGAGAGATGAGGGCGAAGGTGAAGCTGAGGTGGTGATGCAATGGTTATGCGACCGACGGTAGTGCAAAAGATGATGCAGCAACAGCAAGTGGTGAAGTCTGTGACTATTATGATTAAGAATAAGGGAAACAGACTAAAGCTGAGCTTTTATGAAATGTCAATTTGTTACTGCCTCAAGTTCTGTAAATGCAACAGGAGGAGGTGATGACAAAGCAGTACAAGAAAAGCCAAACTCTATGGTGAGTGTGAGGGCAGGGGAGGGGGAGATGGACAAAAGAATTATATCCAGAACAAGAGGTACCTGGAATAATACCTGGTCAGTATGACAGTATGCACTGTATTAAGCCAGGCTCTTTGAATGAGTTTCAAGTTTCCCTAATGAAAATAAATCTTTTAGAGGCAAATTCAATTTTATTTAAAATGGGGGCAGAATATGCAGAATGAATGAATCAAGAAATTCATATACAATTTTGGTTGATAAAGTTCAGGGGAAGAGACCCCCTAGGACAGCCATGCACAGATTAGGAGGAAATTCTCAATTTTGGAGAAATGGTGCAAAAATGTGAACTGAATTTATTGCCAAGGATATGGCTCAATAACAGTTTTGTGAATTCAATTACAAACTTATGGGTTTCATGGGATGTCATGCCTATATGAGTACAGGGTACTACACTATGGTGTGGTACAGTAAACTTTCATTATAATGGACTAATGGTGCGACAGGGCATCTGTTATCGCCAATGTCAGCTGTCACTGTGTGATGGGATGACATGGAAGTGCACCATAGGATACATGGCCAATACACACAATAAACATAGAAATACACAATGTGATTACATAAAGGTTTTTATACTGGGGTTCATTTTTGTTCTAAATAGTTTTTTAACTACAAAACCCTCTTAGTACCTCAATATCTCTAAAAGTTCACAACTGTACAGAGCCACATTCAGTCTATTATATCCAAAATCTGATACATTCAAGTCCCTTACAATGAGGGCTTAATGTATCAGGAAAAGGAGATTTTATCTTTTTGGCTGTTAAAGGCCTGTTTTACTGTAGCTCTCATTTACAGGACATTAATTCCATGAAATATGACCCATTCTGCAATTTTCTTAATTTATTTTACAGAGGGAAGTGCTTTATTTTACTGATCTTTGTCTCAAAGTTTCTAAATTATCAGTTATATTTTGAAAGCTTGCATAAAACATACTGTGAAAAAATAACTCCACACAACTGCACTTTATTCTACCAATTTTAATCTGTAGTTAAAAGGTGAATTTGTTGAGATAAAAAATAACTATTTCTTTTGGTCATACTGATTCATTTACAAAACAATAAATTTCTGAATTTTATTTAACAGAAATGAAATGTACTATTGTTACTTCTTTATTTGATGAAGTACTTTCAAGGAAACAAAACACTTTTTTTCAATCCATCACATTCAGTGAAGAGATGCAACCCCTCCTCCCTCATTGGGTTAGAGAAAATAAGCAAAGCAAAGCAGTTGAAAGCCTGCCAACCAAACAAAAGATCTAAAATCTTGACTGATAACCCAGTGTTTATTTTGACTTCAATTCTCAGTCACTGAGAAGACCTTCAGCACAATGCAGACTGCAAGTTCTTCCACAGTGTGTGCCTCTTGGCCTCTCACTCTTTCCCCTTCCTCTTATCTGTATGTGAAAATACAGCACATGCACAGACTTAAAATTCTGAACATCTATGATGTTTCATGTGGATTCACACTTTATATGGCAACCAAAGAAGAAGACTTTCAGCTTACATTTTACTGACTTCAGACTTTCGAAGTGGTTATCTGCTTATGTTAATTCCATTCTTGGGTTGCTGCACCAGGTTGATGTGAGTGATACATACTGCCCCCATCTTCATGGTTGAAGTGTGTAAGGTGGGTGAACTTGTGGGCATATACAGAATCTTGATTTCAAAAATAATTGGGGGGTGGAGGACAGTAGAGGAGAAAGGTTGGGGCCAGTAAGTACAACTGGCCCTTTTAACGTTTAACGTACAGACTTTTAAATTGCCGGGAGCCCTCTGCAGCCGATATTTAAATCACCCTGATTAATTAACATTGCAAACCGTCAGAAAAATCCATATTTTCCGTTCTATGCAACATAGAAATAAAAACTAGAAACAACCTGAAAGACAATAAAATTTTCTACATGTACACAGAAGAGCAATTTTTACAAACGAAAATTAACTGTGATTATTTTGTCATGAATTGCAAAATATAATCTTTATTATATATGTCATGAAATTCCAAAGGACTTACCCGTTGTTTTTTCTTCAACTTGAATCATGGTGATATTGTAAATATAATCACACTATATACAATAATATTTTGTTCAGACTGTACGCGAGTTTGAACTACGTCACTCCACAGTTTGCGATAACTCACACTCTGATGTGCATGTACTACATCTCGAAGCAGCCCAACACGCATAGCGCAACCCACGTCTCGAAGTAGCCGAACACACAGAGCGCGTCACACTTTTTACAGTAGTAGAGCGTGCTTCTGTGCTACTTATTTTGAGAACAAATATGACATCTTTGTTTCCCTTTGGTTGGCCAGTGTTGTGAATGTTTCACCTCCAGTCGACTCAGTTGGGCCCCAGGTAACCTTGGGCTCCCGCGAGAAATGCCACTGACCGTGATATTCAGTTTTGAGACTTGGTGATATTGTAAATATAATCACTCTATATACAATAATATTACTGTATGCGAGTCTGAACTACGTCACTTCACTATGATAGTCACACTGACACGCGTGGCACTTCTCGAAGCAGTCCACACAGAGCAAAATCACACTTTTTGCAATAGAAGAGCGTGCTCCTGCTTTTCTTATTTAGCGAAACACATGATGTCTTTGTTTCCCGNCCTTTGGTTGGCCAGTGTTGTGACTTTTTCAACTCCAGTCAACTCAGTTGGGCCCCCTGATAACTTTGGCCTTCCCCCGAGAAACGCCACTGACCGTGATATTCGGCTTGTGCGATTGAAGAATCATCTTTGAGGAGGGGGGTTTCTAGCAAAATCGAATAAATTATGTTGATTGACAAAGCGACACTCTCACCTGTTGGTAATATTCGCAAAATAGTGATGCAAAGTAATTATAATACCAGTCAAAAGAATGCCAGTCTGACACATACTGAAAGTCGCAGTGGCGATAATGCCTTTACTCACAAAGTAATACTGGCTCAGTGGGTTTATACCTCTTCCAAGACGCAAAATAAAAATGATATATAAAGAAATATATGACAGTGTGACACTGACTTTTTAACTGATAAAGAAATATTAGACAATCCGACACTGACTTCCTGACTGATAATTCGCCACTGAAAACCAATCCTTGAATGCGTCAGACTTCCTTGAAGGCTCTGGAAGCACTCACATGCAAGCACAGATGAATATTTCCTCATCACTTCTCAAAACAAAGCTGGGCTGTATTTGGCTGACCAGGTCATAAACAGTTGTATCTAAACGTAAGTAGTTTTGAAACCAGTACCTTGATAAACGATTTCTTTGTTCAGAGCTAAGGAATGAACCACTGACATGACCTCACTTAGGTTTGTTTTGATTTCCAACCCAAGGTCAAACTGTCAGCACTCCCAAAGAGAGCATGTGTCCTGCAGCGTGTACACAGGTTATTCGGCCAACTCCTGCTTGCGACCTAACCTATATATGTGCCATTCCGACGTTAAAGGTTAAGGGCCATGGAGTGCATCCAAAACCACTGGCAACTGATGCTCCCACATGGTTAAACAACATCACACCTGGTGTGCACTTTGGTGAGTGACTGCTCGGGAACATCTGTGGCCAGTGATTTTTTTTTGATGCAATTCGTGGCCCTTAAAAGAGCAGCTGTCAACTTTCCTGGGCCACTTTCCCTTTTGGCCCACATAAACATCCCCAATTGTTTTTTTCAAACAGGATCTACATACACAAAGAATTGAACCACTTTACCCACTTCTATACTGACAATGGAAGCAACGTGTACATCTGAAGCACCAGCAACACTGTCCACAGCCACAACGTGTAGCAACCCAAGAATGGAATTAACATCAACATACAGTTTAATGCGGAACTGACACTTACTATTCTCTGTCAGTGCCCAGACGCACTGCAATATCTTGGTACTCTTGGCGGGTGCGAGCAACCAATTCAGGACAACCCAGTGTTGCCAACTGTGAAGCAGCAACACGAGATGCCAATGTTTCTCCTGCAACAATATTTTTAGATACCAAAATGTGTTATAAGTCAACTTAAAGATAATCAGATATTATGGAACCCAAAAATCCACCAGTGCATCTATCCTAAGCTATCATCACACACATCCACTGCAGGTGCTATCACTGCATCTAGACCTTAGTTTGAGAAGTTAAATCTGAGATGCAGATGTAGAGAGGATCTGTCACTAGGAAAATACAAATGACAGTTATAGAGAATGGTGGCAAGGCCACAGAACCAAACTTTGAACTTCTGGGTTCCTTATGGTGGGGGAAGGGAAACAAATTTTTTTGACTACTTTAATAGTTATGAACTGATGAAGATGACTCAGAACCATGGAGTATGACATAGACAATGCAAATATAATTGTTTAAGCCCCCTGTGTGAAAGGGTTTAGGGGAAGCAGGTCTTACAGACAGAACATCTGTGGATTTCAGTGTACTGAATTTCCATTCACGATTTCTCTGTTACTTCTACCCTGGAATTCTTCTGGATCGATACGGTTTGTTCATTCCATGTGCCCACTTTACAAAATAAATTCTTGAAATTTGTAACACCTATTTTCCTTTAAGTGCATACTTCTATACAGATGTAAAAAGGTAAGGTAAAGTTGTCACTGTGCTTAACCAACTAAGCACTGTGCCATGAAGGTGTTTGGGGGAGTGGATGTATAGAACCATCAGCACTAACTGGAGGTGAGTGGTCAGCTTCACGCCCCTGCCACTTTACACCCGGGGAAAGAGCCCCTCATTCCCACTGGACAGGAGGCTGGGAAGGTCCCAGAGCCGGTCTGGATGTGGAGATGACAAAATTCTTGACCCTACCGGGACGCAAACTCTGACCCCTTGATCGTTGTGGCCAGTTGCTATAGTGACTATGCTATCCCGGCTCCTTGTGCTGTATGTGCTTGCCACATTATTCCCTTCAGAACTTCAAGAATATGTTGTAAAACTTAATTACATGCTGTGAACCACGCCAGAAGGCAGAGGATGCCAATTCGACCCATTCTGTGTCGCATTATTACAGTGATCAGTAGCAAATTCCTGTTTAGGTTGAGATGGCCAATGCCCCAGGCAGGGAGATCCCCTGTACCAGTGGTTATCAAACTGTGGGACGCGACCCCCAGGGGGGGGGCGAAGGGCTTGAAAG